TACATGTCATGGGAGGGATTCAGTGGGAGATAATGAAATCATGGAGGTGGTTTCCTCCATGGTATTCTCATGATAGTAAGTTCTCATGATATCTGATGGTTTTATAAGGGGCTTCTCCATTTGCTCAGTTCTCATTTTCTCTCTCCTGCCGCCTTGTGAAGAAGGACATGTTCGCTTTCCCTTCCACCATGATTGTAAGTTTCCTGAGGCCTCCCCAACCCTGTAGAACTGTGAGTCAACTAAAGCTCTTTCCTTTATAAATTACTGAGTCTTGGATATGTTCTTATAGCAGCATGAGGCATGAGAATGGACTAATGCATTGCACATTTTCTCTTTTGATGCTGCCTCATAAATCTCTTATGCTTTCTTCATCTTTTCTCATTCTTTTTTCTTTCTTCTTCTTTAGTTGTATATTTTCAAATAACTTGTTTTTCAGTTCACAGTTTGTCTACTTGATAATTTCTGCTGTTGGTGCTGTCTAGTACATTTATTATTTCATTTATTATGTTTTTTAGCTCCAGAATTTCTATTTGATTAAAAAAATAATTTCAATCTCTCTCTTTAATTCTTTGTTTTGGTTGTACTGTTTTACTGATTTCATTGAAGTGCTTCTCTGTACTTTAAGTTCCCTAAGCTTTCCTAAAACAATTATTTTGATTTTTTTGGTCAGGCATTGCATATATCTCTATTTCATTGGGGCCAGTTACTGTAAAATTACTGTATTCTTTTGTTGTTGTGTCTTTTTTTATGTTTATTTTTGCCTTATGTTGATGTGTGTGTGTGTTTAGTAAAGCAGTCAAATGCACACATATCAACATAAGGGAAAAATAAACATTAACAAAACCAAAAAGAATCACCTTCCAGATTTTGTGAGCTAGTTCACTATGGAAAGACCATACGCTATGGGGGAGGGTTTGTTGGGTGGTGTAGCATCTGTGATGGTGCAGGTTTGTAGTCTCTGTGTAGCTTTTTCACCTCAGGTCAGAGTTGATAAAGATCATAAGGATCCTCAGTGGCCAAAGCAGTGGCTATTGGCAGTGATCCTCAGTGGCCAAAGCAGTGAATATTGGCAGTAGCAGCAAGAATTGATTGGGTCTTCAGTGGCGATGGCTGCTAAGGTTCTTCTGATCTTTCCTCCCACTGGGGAAGCTGGCACTGAGAAGATTTCTCTTGGTACTAGGTCTGGCTTGTAGGGCCTCTCATAGTGGCAGTACCACCAGTGTCTGATGGGTGATGTTGATGGAGTAGCCATGGAACTGAGGTCTGATGCATGGACTCACATGGAGAGACTATGGCTCTGGGATTACAGTGGTAATGACACTGGTGCTCAAGGGGCAGATTCCCCTTCTGCTGCATGGTATAGTATGTGAGGCATGGGTGCACCTGCAAAGTAGTGTGGGAGCTAGAACACAGTCTTTCAGTGGCTTCAGAGTTGGGGCAAGGCATAGCTCTCTATGGCTGAGCTGTTGCCCAGGGCACAGGTGCCCCTGCTGTAGTGTTGGTAATAGTATACATATGCATTAGTCAAGGAGACAAGAATGAGAGCACAGGTATGCACAGAATTATAATGGCTCTGAGGCCTGGGTGGGGATAGCTCTTTATGGTGGTTAAGTCAGTGTCTGAAGCGTGGACACATGCAGGCAGAGTTTAACATTGGGGTTGGAGTGTTAACTAGCTTACAATGGTGCTGGCTGTGGTGTTAAACACATGGGTGGGCCCAGTGTAGTCAGACTGTCAGTCTGGAGTGTGGGCATTCCCAGGGTGGCCATGGCTCCAGGGCTGAAGCTTATACATGGTTGGGAGAGATGGTGACCCCATTCCCAAAGTAGCTCAACAGCAACTCCTTCTTAGGGTATAGAAGGGAGGTATAGCCACATCTCCCCTTCTGGGGTTCTCTTGCAGGAATGACTGTTGGTTACTCAGTGGAAAAAGATCCTAGTGTCTCCTGTGGAGCAGGCCACTAGAGACAATGTTGGTCCTTTCTGTGTCTAATACTGATAGCTTCCACCTTTATTCTTTGTTCCTAGCCAAATCATGGCCTCTTAGGTATGCCAATCACAGCAGCAATTCTTTCTATGTGGTTATTCTCCGTTTTTTGCTTAACGATGTTGTTGCAAATTCTTTAATGGGCCCTTGAGTCCTCTCTGGGATATTTTAGTTTGTGAATAGCTGTTTATACTTGAATGCTTTGGAGGGTTAAAGGTGAGTATCTCCTACTCCATGATCTTGGTGATAGCTCCTAAAAAGAGATTTTCTTAACTAAAAATTTTCTTAACCTAAAAATAGATTTTCAGAAATTATTAATTCCCCCATTCGTTGCAGAGGAGGTCTGGGTGAATGTTGGAGCATGATTTTGACACTTAGCCAGGCAACTGACAATTCTGTCTTTGCCCTCACTTCCTGCTTGCACAAAGCCTCAAGGTCATTCACAGGTGACAGCTCAGTGCCTTCTCTATTTCTTCCTTAGGATGAGCACAGTCCTGGGCATATACCTGGTCTTCTAGATTTTTGGGAATATGTCAGAGATTTTCAAATCCCCAATGGATAGCTCATTACTCAGCTTATGTTTTAAAGCTTTGGTTAGTCTAGTGTTTTCCTTGACCATTATCCAATACCTTAGTCATAAGCAAAGTTAATCAATTGCCTGTAACTGTTTTGACAAATGCCCAGAGGAGAAAGGTTTTTCACAGTGGGTGAGTTCTGATTTAAGTAAAATAAAGACAGCCTTGCAAGTGGAGTCTTCTAGAGAACTGCCAGACATGTCAAATAATGGCAGTTTCTTGGGAATTTGAAAGGGCTCTATCCCAGTTTTGCTTTCTACAGTGGCTGCCAGACAATTTGTTTTCACTATGAATGGGTGCTATTACTTTTTCAGGCTATTACAGAGTTGGATACTGGGGAATGAGAATAATGCAAGCCAAAGCACCACAGAGCTCATTTTTTTCTCACTGAGATTCAGCCATTTTCCTGAATAAATGCTCCCTGGGTAATTGCAAGTCTTTGGTTAATTTCCAGAGTCCTACAAATTTGATTCTGATAATTTTTGCCAATTTTCTTGCTTTCTTTATAGAAGAGAGAATTATCAGAATTTCTTTCTCTATCATTTTCCCTATGTCAAAAGATACATTTTATATATAGTATTATCTTAACACTTATATTGTAGATACAGTTAGAAAAAATGTTACTGACATGAATATTTCTAAATCAAGAAGACATTTTAAAGTTAACAATTAGGAGAAACCATAGGCTATCAAATGCTTTGGAAAAATATGAAGATAGTGTGGTTGCCAACCTCCAACATGTCGAAAATAATCCTTGCTTCCTAGTTTTGTGGTTCTTCTTTCCGCATACTGAATCTGAGTTGATTTGTACAACCAAAATAATCATATGAAAGTGATGGTGTATGACCTTTGAGACTAGTTCATAAAATACATTGCCACTTCCACTTTGGTCACTTGAATAGGTTATTCTTGGAAAAACCAGCTACTATGTTGTGAGGACACTAAAACATACCTATAGAGAGGCTCGTGTGGAGAACTGAGTATTCCACTGAAACCAGCACTAATTTACCACCTATGTGAGTGATCCATCTTGTCCAGTCCCAGCCAAGCATTCTGATGACTACAGTACCACAAAGCATCTGACTGAACCTTTTGATAAGCCTTTATCCAGATCTGCCTAGCCAAACTGTTCCTGAATTCTTGACTAATAGAAACTGTGAGATAATAAATGTTTATTGTTTTAAGCCACTAAGTTTTGTCATAATTTGTGTCTCAGCAATTGATTACTAATATAAGTAATTGAAAGCATTTATTTACAAGGAAGCAAATATCCTCAGAAAGAAATTGAAATATGTTTTTAAAAATTTCCCCTGAGAAAGTACTAGCCGTACATAATGGTAAAGGCTCTTTCAGACATACCAAATTTTCAAGGTTATATTCAGAGCACAAAAGAAGAGTGTAACTCTTAACTATTCCATATTCATTTTCTGAATATGGAATAACTTCATTACCAAGACCTGAAAATAATAAAACCAATGAAAAGAATTATAATTTTACTTATGAATACAGATACAAGGATCCTAAAAGACTCTACTAACAAATGGAATCTAGCAGGATAAAGCTTTCTAGAAATGCATTATATACACATAAAGCTATGATAATTTAGACCTGAAGTACTAGCATCAGAATAAAAATATATTAATAAAAAATAATTTTCAGAACTCAGAAACAACACATCAAACCTAATACCAGTTATGAAATAATCCATTCTTTCCATACTTAGTTGAAGTGTCTAAATCTATATTATAAACATCTAACACATGTTAAAAATATGAGTATGGATGTATGTAAATATGTATATATGTAATATTTTAAATCAAATATACATATGATACATAAATGTGGCTTACAATGAAGCAGATTGACATTCCAAGCATGGATATCTTTAATCTAAAAATAGATCTTAGGAAAAATTTTAAAAAAGTCTTTCAGTTATAAAATCATTCCAAAAGGAAAACAGGAAATTTGAGAGGAAGAAATTCAAATGCCAATAGATACTTTAAAAAGTATAATTTAGGCAGTAATTCAATAAGTAATAGTTATTTTCTAACAAATTCCCTTTGTTTTACAAAAAAGAACAGTAGCCAGTGTTGAGTTCATTTGAGAAGTAAAAGGTAAATATAATTAACAAACTTTTTTGGAAATTAGCCACAATATGCCAAAATCCTTAATATTGATCCAGACATTTTTAGTTAACATTTGAAATATGAATGCTTTACATCCTTATCATTGCTTGTTTGTGTTTTCTTTATGTAGATACTATTTTTAGCAAAGGAAATACATTAAAAATCTTTCAAATTTTCATTGCCCTTCCACCTAGGATAAAGCAGGCAGTTTGATGCATAGGAATGCAGAGTTTTATATTATTTTCCTTATAATAAATCTAAGAGCTAACTGTGGTATCAGTTTGTCTCATCACATTTGGAAGGTGTTACATACCTGCAAATAGCGGACCACTCGGCAAACCAGGTCAGGTGCCATGAAGTCTCCAGTGAATCGCCAGATAATATCTGTCAAGATGTTGACTAGTCCTGTGAAAGAATCTAACAAAAACATACAAGTGCTTACATGCAGGGTTTTTTGTTGTTGTTGTTTTGTTTTGTTTTGTTTGTTTGTTTGTTTTTCAAATTTTCAGCTAAGCCACAATAGAAATGAAATCCTGGAGAGGTTCACTTTTTTTCTCCTTCCTGATTTATTAGATGGCCACTGAGGAAAAGTAAAGCAAAGCAGGAGTTCTTTGACTTATATTATTGCAGCTTCTTACCACTTAAATGTAACCACCTAGGAAAAATTTCAATAATGACTGAAGAGGAATCACAGTAATCATAACTGACCTTTTAAGTCACAGAGCAGAAGTTTTCAGGGTAGTAGGTTTGTACTAAAGACAGCACTGTGTGAGAATGAAGAGGACAAAATTGAGAAAAGCAAAATTGTTATCTTTGGAGAATACTTCAAGATTCCTCTTACTACACCCATTATTTTGCAAATTGGACCTCTTGTTTCTCCTTACACCCAGTCTCAGTCCTCCTGCTCCCAGGTTTCTTTGCTTTCTTCTCCTTTCCACTTTCAATATCTGCCCTCGGAAAGCAGCAAGTGTATCATCTGTCAACTTAATTAATGTACTTGGCTGAATTACAGAGGAACTAAGGCCAAGGTCAGGACATTTGTCCTCTTGTGGGCAGGTCATCTGTACTCAATTCTATAGTTACAGATTGTACAAGCTGTGTAGATGTTTATAGCAGAAATGACAAAATAGGCTATATGTCTAAAAACTGCCCCTCACCCCTCCATGACAGACATCACTAATTTATCATATAATCCAGAATCTTTCTCAAAAGAGTGCTGTAGGCAAGATTGCAGAATAGAAGACTCCACTGATCATTCCCTCTTCCACCTTCAGCAAGAACACCAATTTAGCAACCATCTACACACACAAAAAAGTAGCTTTGTAAGAACCAAAAATCAGGTGAGCACTCACAGTGCTTGGTTTTAACTTCATATTGCTGAAAGAGGCACCGAAGAAGTAGAAAATAAACAATTTTAAATCTCTGATGCCACCCCTCTCCCAATCGCCAGCAATGGCAGCAGGGTATGGAGAGCTTTCCTAGGTGCTAGAGGAGGAAAGCACAGCAATTGTGAGGCACTGAACTTAGTGCTGTCCTATTACAGCATAAAAGAAAACAGGACCAAACTCAGCTGATGCCCCCGCATGGAGGGAGCATTTATATCAGCTCTAGCCAAAAGGAAATCACCAATCCTGGTGGTCAGAACTTGAGTTCCTACAAGCCTTACCACTGCAAGCTCAAGTGCTCTGGGGCTCTAAATATACTGGAAAGTCAGTCTAGACCACAAGGAGTACAACTTTCAAGCAAGTTCTAGTGCTGAACTGAGCCCAGAGCACAGTCACAACAGGAGAGGGCACTGGTCAGCTCTGAGAGGCCCCCTTTCCAGGCCCTAGCTCCTGGATGGCATTTCTAGACATGCCCTAGGCCAGAAGGGAAACTACTGCCCTGAAGGGAAGGACATAGTCCTGGCAGCATTCATCACCTGCCAGCTAAAGAGTCCTTGGGCTCAGAATAACCATCAGGAATACCCAGGTGCATTAAAGACTTTGAGTGAGACTCTGAGACTTGCCAGTCAAAAGTCATCAAGTGGCTCAATGGATTAAAAAAAAAAAAGGATCCAGTGATCTGTTGCTTACGAGAAACACACTTCACCAATAAAGATGAGACACACATAGGTGGAAAATAAAGGGATGGGAAAAGATATTCCATGTCAATGGAAACCACAAAAGAGCAGGGCTAGCTATAACTATATCAGGCAAATTAGATTTCAAGACAAAAACTATAGGAAGAGATAAAGAAGGTTACTATATAGTGATAAAGGGGGTCAATTCAGCAAGAGGATTTAACAATTGTAAATATATATGCACCCAACACTGGAGCACCCAGACATATAAATTAAATATTGTTAGAGCTAAAGAGAGAGAGAGACCCCAATACAATAATAGCTGGAGACTTCAACGTCACAATTTCACCATTGGACAGATCTACTGGACAGAAAATTGGTAAAGAAATATGAGAGTTAATCTGCACTATATAGTTTTGTACAGAACATTTCATCCAACAGCTGCAGAATACACATTCTTTTCCTTAGCACATGGTTCATTCTCGAGAGCAGACTATATGTTAAATCACTAAAAAGCCTGAAAACATTAAAACAAAATAAAAATAATATGAAGCATCATCTCTGACCATAATGGAATAAAACTAGAAATCAATAACAAGAGGAATTTTGGAAACTATACAAATACATGGAAATCAAACCATATGCTCCTGGATGACTAGTGGATCAATGAAGACATTAAGAAGAAAAATTTAAAATTTCTTGAAACAAATGATAATAGAAACACAACATGCCAAAATCTATGGGATATAGCAAGAGCACAAAGAGGGAATTTTATAGCTATCAGTGCCTACATGGAAAAAGAAGATAAACTTTTTTTTTTTTTTTTTTGAGACGGAGTCTCGCTGTGTCGCCCAGGCTGGAGTGCAGTGGCCGGATCTCAGCTCACTGCAAGCTCTGCCTCCCGGGTTTTTACGCCATTCTCCTGCCTCAGCCTCCTGAGTAGCCGGGACTACAGGCGCCCGCCACCTCGCCCGGCTAGTTTTTTGTATTTTTTAGTAGAGACGGGGTTTCACCGTGTTAGCCAGGATGGTCTCGAACTCCTGACCTCGTGATCCGCCCGTCTCGGCCTCCCAAAGTGCTGGGATTACAGGCTTGAGCCACTGCGCCCGGCCTGAAGATAAACTTTAAATAAAAAACCTAATGATGCATCTTAAAGAACTAGAAAAGGAAGAGCAAAACAAACTCAAAATTAGTAGAAGAAAATAAATAAATATCAGAGCAGAAATAAATGAAATTGAAATGAAGAAAACAATACAAAATATCAATGAAACCAAAAGTTGGATTTTTGAAATGTCATGCAAAATCGACAAACCTTTAGCCAGACTAATTAAAAAGAAAGAAGACTCAAACAAATAAAATTAGAGATAATAAAGGAGACATTGCAACTGATAGCAGAAATTCAAAGGATCATTAGTAGCCTCTTTGAGCAACTATATGCCAATAAATTGGAAAATATAGAAGAAAGGAACAAATTCCTGGATACATACAATGTACCAAGATAAAACTATAACCAATAACAAATAACAAGATCTTCTTTTTTTTTCTCTTTTGGGGACAGAGTCTTGTTCTGTTGCCCAAGCTGGAGTTCAGTGGCATGATCTTGGTTCACTGCAAGCTCCGCCTCCCAGGTTCACACCATTCTCCTGCCTCAGCCTCCTGAGTAGCTGGGACTACAGGTGCCCACCACCATGCCCAGCTAATTTTTTTATTTGTATTTTTAGTAGAGATGGGGTTTTACCATGTTAGCCAGGATGGTCTCGATCTCCTGACCTTGTGATCCGCCTGCCTCAGCCTCCCAAAGTGCTGGGATTACAGGTGTGAGCCACCATGCCTGGCCACAAATAACAATATCGTATAATAAAATATCTTCCAATAAAGAAAAGTTCAGGAACGGATGGTGACTCTGCTGAATTATACCAAACATTTAATGAAGAACTAATACCAATCTTACTCAAACTATTCTGAAAAATAGAGGAGGAGGGAATACTTCCAAATTCATTCTACAAGGCCATTATCCTGATACCAAAACCAGACAGAGACACATTCAAAAAAATCAGAGTTTGTATTCACATGTAACAGACAATAATGTTCATTTTCTGCTTTGCCCAGGGCTATGTTACCTCTTCAAATATTTGTCATAATAAGGTCTGAAGAGACATGGACCATCTGAACATTCTGTAGAATATCACATTGATCCATTTGCATCAAAGACATCATTAAGAGTCAACAAGAGGTGTCTAATACATTAGAGGCCTTGGTAGGACACACACACTCTGGAGTGTGGGAGATAAACCCTGTGAAAGTTCAGGAACATCCCACATTGGTAAAGTTTTTAGTGGTTCAGTAGTGAAAGGCTGCTAGAACACCACTGCGACCACTGGATTTTCAAGTAAAAGTTAAATTACTGTATCTTACATTCTCAATCTCATTAAATAGAGCAAGATACCTGGTAGGCCTGTGTTTTGAAGGCAACACATTTCACATGTAGAAATATTTTTCCATCTCATATACTGAACTACATAGAAGTCTCACAGCTTTGAGTGGGCCTGGAGCAAGAAAGGACTCTGCAGCATGTAGGACTGCAGTATAAGCAACTCTACTACTTGGGGCATATGATCTGGCTGACCCTATGGTGCTGAATATGTTAGTGGGGAAATATACAATTTGGAGTTGTTGTATGCCCAAGTGAAAGAATTAGAATGCAGGCCCCTAGAGCTCTGAAGCAATGCCATCCATTTTCGGTATAAAGTTGTACACCTTTTGAGAAACTGTTCCTAGAATGTTGCTGAGCCTTGGTCAAGATGGAGTGGTTGATAATGGGGCACCAAATGTATTTGGAACAGACCATTATGAGCTAGATAATGCACTAAGTCATACACTTAGATGTGTTCCACAGCCTTCCACTGGAAAATGGAAATGGCACATCTGGGATCAAACCCATATGGGACTAGATTGGCATGAGGAGGCTGCATGAGCAAGTAGCACAGATGCCTCCATGTCACCCACCAGGGTTGTACCAGTGCCCTTGTACAGCTCACACTTATGGTTATATGGGTGTTCTCTATGACTAGCTGAAAGGGAGGTAAAAGGCCAATTCTGGTTGACAATTCTGGTTGACAATTCTGGTTCACTATGTAGCTGCAAAGCAAAAATAGATGGTCACTGAAGTAGAGATGCATTATGAGGTAGCCTTGGAAGACAGTGGAGAAGGAAGGTCTTCCCAATGAACGAAGCTTCAAGCAATGACTATGGTTATCTATTTTGAGTGGAAGAAAAATTGGCCTAAGGTGTGAATATATGTATAGGTTTCTGCACAGTAGCCAATAGTCTAGCTGTGTGGACAGGGACCTGAATG